TTTCCCCATTTTTTAACTCATGTGAGGAATAGAAAGTGTTCTTTAATTCCACCTTTTACTAAGCAACGGATTAACTAATCGAAATAGAACTTCAGTAGACTTCTTCCAAAATAAGTGATGTACTTGCAAATATAAGTGTTTTCCATGCTTGTGTAAATGTTTCATGTTTAGGGATTAAGCAAGTAAAGTGAATTTCCTTAGGACTTTTTGTATGTAAGGATATAGTTGTTCTTGTTAGTATCTAAAAATCTAGGAGGTGGCCTAGCACAGTGACATACGCTAGCATAGAGTATTGGCTTTCAAGGTCTGTACTGGCGTCTCTGTCCCACCATTTGCTGTAGGACCCTGGAGAAGTTACTGAACTTCTAAATTTAATCTGTAAGATGGAGATAGTAAAATATACATCACTAGACTATTATGAATATTAAATAAGATAATAGATGCAAGTTGCTTAACATGGTATATTCCATGTAATAAGCATTCCATAAAACATAACAATTGCTATTACAATATTAAGACTGGAACATTATTAAAAACAGTTCTACAGGCTGTCTTAATCACAATGCCATCTGATTTTGAGTTTTTGCTTCTAGGAAAAACTGTTGAAATGAAACCTTCCCTATTACTGAATTTTAAAATAATAATTAAATATAAATGATGATTTGGAAGTAGATTCAAATTGCTACACAGTGGAGAAATAGTCTGGGATTTTTATTTTAAAACATGGTTAAGATGCTGGACTCCCACATCCAATTGTGCAGTTCAAGTCCTGGACTTGGCGACTTGAAAATCACAGCTGGTGCATGTGTGTATCCCAAATCCTGAGAAGGAGAATGGAGAAGAAAGGACTGTGGTGTGACCATCCCCCATAGGGGATGGTTTATCAGTTTCTGTCTTTCTGTCTCTGGTAAGCACATGTGCTCTATGGCAAAAACCTAAAAAAAATAGTTCTAGACCTTCTTTATGATTTCTAAAAGAATAAACAGCTCAATGTTTATTCTAAATATCTGTTTAAATTTTGGCTAAGACTTGGGGATATGACCCAAGTCTAAATACAAACTTCATTTATGTTTCATATTTACCTTATACACATAGCTTGAAAATAATTATATATATATATTTTCTTTATTTTTTGGACTGTGAACCATCACCTAAGGTCAGTGAGGTCAGGTGTGGAATATTCCGTTCTGGCATCATGTTAGTGCTCAAAATTTTTAGATTTTGAAGCATTTTGAATTTTGGACTTTCAGAGTGGGGATGTTCAACCTATATGTAAATGGACTATGAAATAGAATATAAAATCCATGCAAAATATGTTTACACTGGGACCAGCAGAGGGCGTAATTCTACATAGTCAACCATGGTTTGAGTCCTGGACCAGGTGACTTAAAACTCACGCCAGGCGTGTGTGTGCCCAAAATCCCGAGGAGAATGGAGAAGAGATTGTGCCATGGCCATCTTCCCAGGGGGGGATTTTTCATTTTCTGTCTCTCTGTTTCTGTCTCTCTGGTGAGCACACATACCATATAGCAAAAATTTCTCCAAATTTTTTTTTTTAAATTGTTCATTTATTTCTTCCATGAGTGAGAGAGACAGAGAAAAAAAAAAAAGGAGAGAGAGTAAGAGGCAGAGAGATAGCACACCTGACAAGGTTCCAATGCCGTGATCCACCCCTGTTTCAGCCAGCTCTGGATCATGGTCACACGCGTGCCCAGGAGACTCAGGGAGGTCTGTGGATGCAAACTGGGAACCTTCCCATATGGGTCAGTTTCACAGAGGGTCTTGTTTTACTGCTGCATCACTCTCTAGATCCCTGTACAAAATTAATCCTGAAATTCTGGCTTGTTTTAGTAGTTTCCTAAACTATCAAATTATATGAGTTATAAAATTGTTTGAAAGTGTAATTATTGTTTGAAGTGTAAGATGAGAATTCTTACTTAAACTTATATGCATAAATGTTATTTCTACTTTAAAAAATGTCTTATGTTGATAAACCACAATACAGAATTTTCTGTACTTTATCTAATTATGTGCTACTTTAGAGAGAGAAAAAAATGTGTTGGTAGGACTGTGTATCTGAAAACAAAACAGAAAACAAGTTCTGTCATACCTGTTTTTCAAATGATTCAATTTAATGTAAGTTGAGAGCTTGGTAGGTGAATATTTCCATAATAGACTTTACATACATCTAGATTGACAGTGGCCTCAGGAATACTTGTACATTTGAATAAAGAGGGGAAAACTGCTACTAAATGCTAGCTGCAATAACCTGAAGACTTGATAAAGGCATAGTTGTTGAATTAAATATTACACAAGCAGAAAAGGGGAGTTGATAATGGAAAAGCAATGAAACTCCATCTTTACACTTATGTACTTATGTTCTAATAACAGCATATACTCAGACTCAACCACAAACTAAATATATACCTAAGTTTGCTTTTTTCAAAGAAGTTAAGTGCATAAAAATAAGGGATAGACTTTACCTCCTTCTCTTTGAACGATGTGATAGAGGTGGACATTGTGTAGAATGTATTCCAGATCGTGGTCTGTATAACCTTTATCATGCATATCATCCACTGAATCTGGATAAATGACTTGATCCCGAAGACTTCCAAGAGACATATATGGCCTGTAAAATACCAGGCAAAAATCCTTGTGTGAAGTCACTTTAGCTTACTCAGTGCGATATCCTGCTGGTTTCAAAACACTAGAACAGAATTGTGTGTGTGTGTGTAGGGTGTGTGTACTCACCAGAGAGTGTCAGGGGAGGGGAGTGACAAAGCACACCCCAAGGGGATGGCCATGCCATAATCCCTTCTCCTCCATTACCTTTTTGGGATTCGGGGCATAGATGTACATGCATCTGGTGTGTTTTACAAGCCTCCAGGTCCTGGACTTGAACTGTACAGGGAGCCATATAGGACCCAGCTGCCACAATCACCATGCCACCAGCTAGATCTAGAGCAGACTTTGAATATTTCTAGGATTATATTTGTTACCAGGTGATGAGTACTTCTCTGCTGATATTTGATAAAAAGTGGATGAATATGGAAGATTTAATGCTAAGTGTTATGAAAGACAGGCATTGTATGTCCCCACTCAATATATACCAAATATCTCTACTTTCTAGCAGAAATGGAAAGACTGGAAGGTATAACAGCAGGAGAGCAACTGCAGATACTAGAGACAGTACTGGAGAGAGTAGGAGGGGATCAGGAAAAAAAAAAAACACATTTAATAGACTAAAAAATGAAAAGCTATCTGCTGATTATAATGGATATGGTAATATCTTTGACTTGACTAATGTGCACAGTATTCATGCTGGGAAAAAGTCCTGTTGTACACTGTAAAAGTGTACAATGATTAAATGTAAATTTTTAAAAATGCTAGGGGGAAAAAACCCTTAACACTGTTGTTAGGTTAATACAAAAGTCTATTGAGATAGAAGAGAAGCATCTGCAGAAATATTTTGATATTTTTGGCAGAGAAATACATACTTTGTTTCATTGTATTTGAGAAAAAAATTGCTTTTGTACTTCATCATTTTATATTTGGGTTAAATACATAATCTGGTGTTTGGCCACTGCTGTGGATTGAATGTATCCCCCAAAGTTCATGCACTGGAAATACTGGGTTGTTGGAAAAGCCATGAAGCATATTTTCATAGAAAAATATAGACAAAAATGTCATGACTTTTCTGATAACCCAATATAATCCCCAACCCAACAGTGTTGAGAGATAGGACCTCTAAGAAATGATTAGGTCTTGAGGGCTCTGCCCTTATGAATGGATTAATGTCATCGTCACAGGAATGAGTTAGTTATTACAGAAGTGAGTTCCTCATAAAAGGATGGCGTGGCCTGATTTTCTGTCTTGTTGTCACCCTTTCTTGCCCTTCTACTGTCCTCACAGAATGGCAGAATGGAAGTGCTCTCCAGACGCCAGCACCATGCTTTAGACTTCTCAACCTCCAAAATCATGAGCCTAATACATTTCTGCTCTTTATCAATTACTCAGTCTCAGGTATTTTGATAGAATAAGTCAAAAGGGGGACCAGCAGGTGACATGATGGTTAAGGCAGTAGACTCCCTCATGGTTGACCAGTTGAGTCCTGGACCTGGTGGCTTGCTTTCTCCCTTTACCTTCTGTTTTTCTCTGGCAAGTGCATGTACCCTGTAACAAATTTAAAAATAAAAAATAATAATGATAAATAAGATTAAGTGAATAATTCTATTAAAAAATGTAAGCCAAAGGGACTAAGATACCTAGGAATATAAATAAACACACTTTAAAAAATGCTATTCATAAGAAAAACACCAATTAAAACTACATTGAGATTCTTACTTATAATATTGGAAAAAATTCAGCAGCTTCATAACTCACTCTATTTGCAGACCTATAAGGAAATAGGTGTTCTCATACTAAGGTGAAAATGCAAAATGCTACAACTCCTTTGGGGTGGATTTGGCAAACCATTATATCAGTTGCCCTTTGACTCACTTCTGGGAATCTTCTTTGAAGATATACTTTTAAAAAATACCAGAAAAAAAATTCACAAGGTTATCCATTATAGAATTACTTGAAATTGCTAAATATTGAGAAAACCATGTGTATACAAAGGAGATTGGTTGAATAAGCCATAGTACAACCACTACACAACTGTAGAAAAAGGATGAGGAAGATCTCTGTGCACTGGCATAGGGTGATTTCCATGATATTATTAAAATGGAAAGCAAGGTGCAAAAGTGGATGTGTAGCTGGGGTTCTCAACAACAGTGTCATTGAGAAACTGAACCAGGCTATTTTCAATTCTTTGTTGTTGAGGGCTAGCCTATATGGTAGGAAGCTTAGCAGTGTCCCTGTCTATTCACTAGATAACAGCAGCACACCCTCTAGTGGTGACCAAAAAATTGTCTCTCGATATTGCCAAATGTTCCCTGGGGGACAAAATTGTCCCATTTGAGATGATACAGCCGATACACTGTATCATCTCCTACGTAGAAAAAAGGTAAAAGTAAAATATACACTTATGTGTTTACATTTACAAAAGAAAACACAGGGAGTGTAGACCAGAAACTAAGGAGGAGGTTATGTACCTCCATGAGGTGGGAGGAACATAGCAGAATAGACAGGTGAGGGAATGGCTTACTCTAAGCATTCTTTCTACATCATTTTTACGTATAGAATAATCTTAAGTGTTACTATTCAAAAATAAACCAAATATATCAGCAAGAATGAAGGAAGAGACATTGAAGTTGAACATAAACAGAAACAAACTGAATAGTATGATCAATGGATAACATAACCCCACAGGGAGTGGGGTGGGGGGGGTGACCTAATACAAGCAACCTTTGGACTTGGCTACATAACTTCAAAGCCAGAAAAGAACCATAGAGAAATCTCAGGGCTTATTTGGAAATTTTATTTTTAGTAATGATATGACAATAGGGGTAGCAATTTATGTGTACCATAGGATTGATCAAGTAAGTAAATATTTTGTTAATGTTAAGAGCCAGGATTCTCATGGTGGAAGAAAGTTGATACAAATATGGAATGTGGGAAGCCAAGAGAAAAACTGGAACATTTATTTGAATCAGAGTAGCAGTATAAATTTATTATTTTATTAATTAAAAAAATTTCTAACTCTGGGCTGGCAGGAGACATAGTGGTTAAGGACACTGGATTTCCATGTGGCTAACTGTGGTTCAAGTCCCAAACCTGGCGACTTGCTTTCTCACCTTCTCTTTCTCTCTCCCTCTGTCTCTCTCTGGTCAAGTTAAAAAATAGCAACAAAAACTGGAATTAGATAAATAAGTTTTTTAAAAATTTCCTAGTTCTATCCAGATTTGCTCCATCTGAATATATGAAGAAACTCCAAACGTTTGTGGAAAACAGAATTAAAGTGTAAGTTTACTTGGTATAAAATTTTTGGAATTCATACCTTTTTATAATATGCATATTTTGTGAACTTTTTAAAGACCCTGCCTCCTAATCCTTTGAAAAGGACACAACCCTATTTAGGTAATGTAAGTTAGTTGAATTGTGGACCCAAAATATTTAAGTTCTAGTTGTAACCCGTGTGCATGTGAGCTTATTTAGAAACAGGGTCTTTGAAGATGTAATTAAGTTAAAGATCTTGAGAGAGCTAATCCTGGATTAACCAGATGGGTCCCAAATCCAATAAAAGCCCTTATAGGAAGAGGAAAAACATAGGGAAGAAAAGATGGCCATGTGAAGACAGAGGCAGAGACTGGAATTATGCTGCCACAAGCCAAAGAACATTTGGAACCACCAGAAACTGGAAAAAGCAAGGTAATATTCTCCCTGGAACCTTCAGAGGCATAGAACAGGCAACATCTCAACTTGTGGCTTCCAGAAGAATAAGTTTCTGTTATTTCGAAGCACCAAGTTTTTGATCATTTGTTACAGAGGCCCTTGAAAATGAATATAGGTAATATTCCTGAAAAAATGTTTAATCTGCATCCCAAGATAAAGAAACTATCAGACAAATTCAAATTGAGACATTTTCTTTAAAAAAAAAATACTGCACTCGAAAAATATCAGTGTCACAAAACAACAAAGAAAGGCTGAGGAACTCTTTCTACTTATGGACTAAAGGGGCATAGCAACTAAATGTGATGTTTCAATAGAATATGCTATGTTAAAAAATGCCATAAAGAACAGTATTGTGACATTGGCAAATTTCAAATATGGACTGTGTTTTTGATATTAATATTATGTCATGTTAAATTTCTTCAATTTTATAATTGTGTCATGGTTATGTTAAAGAATATTTTTGGCCTTTGAAAATATATCCTTAAGTAACTAGGGGGTAAAGATTTATGAGTATTGCAACTTACTTTAAAAAAATCAATAAGATGTATAATTGTGGTGTATGTCTATTTTTCTGGAGGTAAAGATTTTTACATACAAAATGTGTTCTGCAGCTTGGTAGTCTACCTATTTTCCGATAGTATGCAAACCATTTCATTGCAGGATAGGTAACACAAGGATATTTTACAACACGTTAACTATTATTTAAGAATCAAAATGTTTATATCTTAACTGCACCTATATACATTTATTTAATAAGATTTTTCAGTGAGATATTTACAAATGTAAGGGATATGTGGTCATATTTACACTTTAAATGAAGATAAATTCACATATCGTGAAATGTACAATTTAGTGGTTTTTATTAGGTCATTGGAAAAGTTATGACGTATTTTTCTATGTTTTTCTATGTGAAAATACATCATGACTTTCCCAATAACCCAATAGTATATTCACAAGCTCACATAAACATCACTACTAATTCCAGAACACTTTCTTTCCCAAAAAGAAACCCAATACTCACTAGCAGACTCTTCCCATTACTCCCTCCCCTTATGCCCCACCAACCACTGTTTTCTGCCTCTATAGTTTTGACTATTCTGGACATTTCAAACATATGGAATCATAATATATGGTTTCTTCTGAGTGCCTTCTTTCTATAGTACGATTTTTTTTCAAGTTCATTCATGTCGTAGTGTGTAAACAGCACTTCATTTTTAAAAAATATTTTATTTCTTAGTGGCTGAGTAATATTCCATTGTATAGGTATGCAACATTTGCAGTGCAGATGGGTAT